TAAAGTTTGATTAGGTACGTAAGAGGAGAGGAGAAGAGGAGAGAAGGAAGGGAGGAAGAGGGGGGAAGGAAGAGGAATGAGGAGGGAGAGGAGGAGGAGGAGGAGGAGGAGGAGGAAGATGAGGTAGCCTGGAAGGGACGTAAAGTTTGATTATTTATGTAAGAGGGGAGGAGAAGAGGGGGAGAGAAGAGAAGAGAAGGGAGGAAGGAGAACAGAAGGGAGGAAGAGGAGGAAGGAGAACAGAAGGGAGGAAGGAGAAGAGAAGAGGGGAAGGAGAAGAGAAGGGAGGAAGGAGAAGAGAAGGGAGGAAGAGGAGGAAGGAGAAGAGAAGGGAGGAAGGAGAGAGAGGGGGGAAGAGGGAGGAGGAGGAGGAGGATGAAGATGAGGTAGCCTGGAAGGGACGTAAAGTTTGATTATTTACGTAAGAGGGGAGGAGGAGGAAAGAGGAGGAAGAGGGGGGTTAAGGGGAGGGGAAGAGGGGAAGGAGAGAGAGGAGGGAGGAGGAGGAGGAAGAAGAGGAGGAAGAGGAGGCAATGATGATATTGATAATTGAGATGATGATGATGCTAATAAAATTGACAATTGTGATAATACTGTTAATTCTGATAATAATAATGATGATAATGATAATAATAATAATGATGATGATAATGATGATAATAATTATGATGATGATGATGATGATAATAATGATAATGATGATGACTGCAATGATAATTTCAATAATGACAATAATACTACTATTAACAATACTAATCATAACAATACTGATAGTTAAGATAATAGTGAAAATTAAATACTAATAATAACACTACCGACTGTAATAATAAAAAGTCACTCACCTAAACAGACTCACTTCTGAGCAGAGAGAAAGAGAAAGAGAGAGAGAGAGAGAGGGAGAGAGAGAGAGAGAGATTAAGAGAAAGAGAGAAAGAGTTGAGAGAGAGAAAGAGAGAAAGAGAGGAAGAGAGAGAGAGAGAGAGAGAGAGAGAGAGAGAGAGAGAGAGAGAGAGAGAGAGAGAGGAGAGAGAGAGAGAGAGAGAGAGAAAGATAAAGAAAGAGAGAGAGAGAGAGAGAGAAAGATAAAGAAAGAGAGAGAGAAAGAGAAAGAAAGAGGAAGAACAGAGAAAGAAAAAGACACAAATGAGAAACAACATAAACAAGAGACATAAACAATACATAAACAATGAGTGATAAACAAACACAGAGACATTACAATAAAAACAAACGAACAGGAAAACACATGACAAAAACAGAAAAAAACAGAAATCAGTTAATGGAGAAAGAGATAAAGATAATGAGAGAAAGAGATAATGAGAGAGAGGAGATAATGAGAAAGAGAAAGAAAGAGATAATGAAAGAGGGAAAGAGATTATAAGAGAACGAGATAATGAGAGAAATAATAATAATAATATAAGAAGAAGAAAATATAATAGTAATAATAATGATAGTAATAAAAATATAATAATAATAATAATAATGAAAATATTGATATTATTAATAATAATAATAGTAATAATATACTAATAACATAATGGTGATAAATTTATTAGTAATAATAATGAAAAAAATACAAAAAAATAATCAAATAAAAAATAAATGATAAACAAATAAATACATAATAATAATAATAATAATAATAATAATAACAATAATAATAATAATAATAATAACAATAATAATAATAATAATAATAATAATAATAATAACAATAATAATAATAATAAAATAATAATAATAATAACAATAACAATAATAATAATAAAATAATAATAATAAAGAAAAATTCAGCGCCTCCTGACTGACCTGTGATCTTGCCGTTGGCCTGCTTCGGAGGCTGCCAATTGAAGACTATCGTGTGGGGCTCGCCGGGGATGGGGACGACGGTGATATCCCGCGGGGGGGAGGAGGGGCGGGCCCTGCAGGGTCGTGTTGGAGGTCACGAGGCTCCACGGGGATTCTCGGCGGCCCTGAGTGAGAGAGAGACGGAGGTTTACGTTAGTTTAAGTTAGTGTCGAGAGATGGAGGGAGGTTAGGGTGGTTGAGGGAGATTTGGGGGGGGGAGGGGGGGGGGTTTAGGGAGGTTGGGGGGAGGGGGTGGGTTTAGGGAGGTTGGGGGAGGGAGAGGGTTGGGGGAGGGGGCAGGTTGGGGAGGGGGGTAGGGGGCAGGTTGGGGGGGGGGGTTGGGAGGGACGGAGGTTGGAGGTGTTAGAGAGGTTGGGGGGGGTTAGAGAGGGGGGAGGGGGGAGATGGGGGTGAAAAAATCGAGGGAATAAATTGAAGGAGGAGATGGAGGGAGGGAGGGAGGTTTAGGGGTTGTTGTGGTGGTGAAAATCGAGAGAATAAATAGATAAAATAACAGTAATATAATAGATGAATCGTTATCTTGGTCTCATATTTCTTCAAGGTTGCACTTGCCTATCTCATCTATCTCTCTCCCTCTCCCCTTTTCTCTTTGTTTTTCTCCTCTCTATTCCCCTCTAATCTCTAACTCTCTATTACTCTATCCCTCATATTTACTCTATACTCATCTCTCTCTCTTCTCCGTTTCTTTATCCCACCCACTCTCTCTCTCTACTACACTATAATCTATATATACAATCTCTAATCTCTACAATCTCTTTAATCTATCTCTCTCTTCTCCATCTCTCCCTCACTCTCTCTCTTATCTCCCTCTCTCTCTCTCTCTCATCTCTCCCTCTCTCTCTCTCTCTCATCTCTCCCTCTCTCTCTCTCTCTCATCTCTCCCTCGCCCTCCCTCTTTTCTTCCATTCTCTCCCTCCCTCCCTCTATCTCTCCATCCCTCTCCCTCTTTCCCTCTATCCCTCCCTCCCTTCTTTTCTTCCATTTCTCCTCCCTCTCCCCCCTCTCTCCCAATTCCCTCTCCTTCTCCCTTCTTTTCTTCCATTTCTCCTCCCTCCCTCTCCTTCCCCCCTTTCCTATCTCCTTCCCTCTCTCCCTTTCCTTCCTCTCCTTCCTTCTTTTCTTCCATTTCTCCTCTCCCCTCTCTCCCATTCCCTCTCCTTCTCCCTTCTTTTCTTCCATTCCTCCTCCCTCCTCTCCTTCCCCCTTTCCTATCTCCTTCCCTCTCTCCCTCTCCTTCTTTTCTTCCATTTCTCCTCCCTCCCCCTCTCTCCTTCCCCCCTTTCCTATCTCCTTCCCTCTCTCCCTCTCCTTCCCCTCCATCTTTCTTTCCCCCTTCCCTCTCTCCATCTTCCCTCCCAATCACCCCATTTCTCCTCCCTCTCTCCCATTCCCTCTCCTTTATCCCATTTTCCCCTCTCCCTCCCTCCCTCCTTCCCTCACTCTCCCCTTCCCCCTCAATCCTTCTCTCTCTCTCCCTCTCTTCATCCCTCTCCTTTATTTTCTTCCATTTCATCTCCCCCATCTCAAGCCGAACACCGTGTTGGGCTTGAGGTTGGTCTCTCTCCCTCCCTCTCTCCCCCTTCCCTCAATCCCTCTCCCTCCTCCTCCCTCCCTCCATCCTTCCTTCCCCCCCCCTCTCTCCTTCCCTCCTTCCTTTCCATTTCTCTCTTCCTCTCTCCCCCTCACCCTCCCTATCTTCCTCTCCCTCCTTCCTTTCCTCCCTCTTCTTCTCTCTTCCCCCCTCTCTCCCATTCCCTCTCTCCCTCCCCTTCATCCCTCTTCCTCTTTCCCATTCCCTCTCTCCCTCCCTCCTTCCTTTCCGTTTCTCCTCTCCCTTTCCCTTCCATCATCCTTCTCTCCATCCTTCCCTCCCTCCCTCTCCCTTTCTCCTTTCTTCCTTCTCTCTTTCTCCTTTCTTCCTTCTCTCCCTCTCTCCATCCTTCCTTCCCCCCCCTCTCCCTCTCCTTCCCTCTCCCTCCCTCCTTCCCTATCTCCCTCTTTCCATCCCTCTATCCCTCTCCTTCCCTCTCCCTCCCTTCATCCCTCTCTTCCTATCTCCCTCTCCCTTCCTTCTTTTCTTCCATTTTTTTTTCCATTTCCTTTCCCACATTCAACTCACCTTAATGGTCTTGACGGCGAACTCGTACACCGTGTTGGGTTTGAGGTTGTCGATGAGGCAGGTGACGTCGGAGGCGTTGCGGTAACGGAACCTGGGGCTGGAGGACGTGGCCGAGGCGAAGGTGTGTGTAGCGCACGGTGTAGAAACGCGTGTCGCTGATGTACTGTTTTGGGGGAGGAGGAGGAAGGAGGAAGGAGGGAGGGAGAGAGAGAGGAGAGGTGGAGAGAGAAAGAAGGAGGATGAAGAGGAAGGAGGGAGGAGAGAGAGAACGAGGAGGGAGATAGGGAGAGAGAGGGAGGAGGATGAAGAGGAGGAGGGGGAAAGAGAGAAGAGGAAGGAGGGAGGAGGAAGAGGAGGTTGAGTAGAAAGAAGATAAGGAGGGAGGAGATAGGGAGGGAGGGAGGTGGGAAGGAAGGATGGAGAGGAGAGAGAGGGAGGAGGAGGAAGGAGGAAGAGGAGAGAGAGAGAGGGAGGAGGAGGAAGGAGGAAGAGGAGAGAGAGAGAGGAAGGAGGAGGAAGGAGGAAGAGGAGAGAGAGAGAGAGGGAGGAGGAGGAAGGAGGAAGAGGAGAGAGAGAGAGGGAGGAGAGAGAGAGAGGGAGGAGATAGGGAGGGAGGGAGGTGAAAAGGAAAGATGGAGAGAGGGAGTGGGAGGAGGAGGAGGAAGAGAGGAAGAGGAAGAAGAGAGAGAGAGGAAGAAGAGAGGGAGAAAGAGAAAGAAGAGGAAGAAGAGAGGGAGAAAGAAGAGAATTAAAGATAGGAGGAAGAAAAGAGAATTACAGAGAAGAGGAGGAAAAAGAAAAAAAAAATTAGTCTTTCAAGACCTACATGTAATAATTACCTAAATATACCATTATACCAATATCAGTAAATATACAAATATATCTACACATACATACACACACACACGCACGCACACACACACACACACACACACACACACACACACACACACACGCACACACACAAAAACGAAACTAATATCCGTTCGTCTAGCAAGGTCATTATTCAATTTCACATCTTATTGTAGTTGCTTTCCTTAACACGTATAAACATGCATACATATTTAAACACACACACACACACACACACATACACACACACACACACACACACACACACAAACACACACACACTCTCACACTCACACGCACACATATATATATACATAATTTTTTTTTTAACCAACACTAGCACCCCGTAACTGATTAACTGAGGTAAACAAATAACTGAAACAAGATATTAATTTCGGTTATCTGTTGAACTTTTATCCTTTCTGCGTACCTGGTTTCGATTCAGTGTCGTGTCGGTCCACTGCAGAGCGACGGTGAAGGGCGTGAGAACCTCGGCCTTGAGACCCACCGGGGGGGTGAGGGTGGGTGCGGAAGGAGGCTCAGGAGGACGCGTGCGGACCTGCTCATAGACCGGCTGTCCGTCGCCCACGCTGTTGAACGCTCGTAGGCTGATGACGTACTCTGCGTTGGGTTCTGGGGGCAAGGGAAAATAAATAACGGTGAAAACAGAAATAATAACGATAATAATAATGACAACGACATTGCTACCGGATGAATGTAAAGTTCGCTTCCGTTTTCTTTTGTGGCACATATTCAACACATCAGAAAAGTTCCCCCAAACTAATTTCTCTACGCATTCAAAAGAAATTCCCTCCTTCCGCCAGTTTACAATCTACGCCTTGGATATCCTCCCCCCCCTTACCCTCCCCCTCCAACCTACACATCGAAAAAATCTCCCTCTCTCTCCTTACGTAAACTTATGTATACTCTGCGCACTTAGACGTATACTCCATGTATACTCACATATACTCACGAATACTCCATGTATACTCACATATACTCACGAATACTCCATGTATACTCACATATACTCACAAATACTCCATGTATACTCCACGCACCTAAGAAATCTTCCGTAAACTCCACACACCTAAAAAATCTTAAGCATACTCCTCACACCTAAAAAAATCTCCCTCCCTCTCATTACGTAAACTCCACACACCTAAAAAATCTTACGTAAACTCCACACACCTAAAAAATCTTACGTATACTCCACACACCTAATAAAATCTCCCTCCCTCCTTCCCCTTTACATAAACACCACGAACCTAAAAAAATCTTACTCATACTCCACGCACCTATGAAATCTCCCTCCCTCTCATTACGTATACTCCACGCACCTAATCCTTCGATGACGTAACTCCTCTGCTTGCTGTCGACGATCTTGGAATACACGTCAGGGATCCCTTTGCCCCAGCCGATGGTGTAGCCTCGCACCATTACGTTCTGCAGTTGCGGAGGTTGCCACTTTACGCTGATGTGGTCCTTCATGGCCAATGCTGGAAGAAGAGAAAGAAAATTAGAATGAGGGAAAGGAGAGAGAGAGAAAAATAAAAAAAAAGGAGAGAGAGAGAGAGAGAGAGAGAGAGAGAGAGAGAGAGAGAGAGAGAGAGAGAGACAGACAGAGGCAGACAGAAAGAGAGAGAGAGAGAGAGAGAGAGAGAGAAGGGGAGAGAAGGAGAGAGAAAGAGAGAGAGATGAGAGAGAGAGCGAGAGAGAGAGAAAGAGGGAAAAGTGAGAGAGGGAGAAAAATAAAAAAAAGGAGAGAGAGAGAGAGAGAGAGAGAGAAGGGGAGAGGGAGAGAGAAAGAGGGAAAGGAGAAAAAGAGAGAGAGAGAGACGAGAGAGAGAGGAGAGAGAGAGAGAGATGAGAGAGAGAGAGGGGAGAGAAGGAGAGAGAAAGAGGAGAGGAGAGAGGAGAGAGAGAGAGAGAGAGAGAAAAGTGAGAGAGGGAGAAAAATAAAAAAAAGGAGAGAGAGAGAGAGAGAGAGAGAGAGAGAGAGAGAGAGAGAGAGAGAGAGAGAGAAAGAGAGAGAGAGAGGGAAAAGTGGAGAGAGGGAGAAAAAATAAAAAAAAAGGAGAGAGAGAGAGAGAGAGAGAGAGAGAGAGAGAAAAGTGTGAGAGGAGAAAAATAAAAAAAAAGGAGAGAGAGAGAGAGAGAGAGAGAGAGAGAGAGAGAGAGGGGAAAGGAGAGAGAGAGAGAGAGAGAGAGAGAGAGAGAGAGAGAGAGAGAGAGAGAGAGAGAGAGAGAGAGAGAGAGAGAGAGAGGGAAAAGTGAGAGAGAAAGAAAGAGGGAAAGAGAGGGAAAGAAAGTGAAATAAAATTAAGAACAAGAGAAAAAACAAAACATGAAAAAAACATATTAATAATATTACAAACACTAATATTCTTCACTCTATTCAATCCAACTACAAGGCTCCTTCAATCCATCAATCTAACTACAAGTGTCCTTCAATCTAACCATTCAATTTCATTATAGGGGCTATTCAATCTAGCCACTCAATCTACCCATTCAATTTAATTATAGGTGTTATTCAATCTAATTATTCAAATTTAAATATTCACTTTTAATTACGAGGATTCTTCAATCTAACCATTCAATTTAATCGATCAAACCCTGAGGCTCTTAAATTAACTATAACTATAAATTAACTATAATTAACTAATTAAATAAATTAACTAATTAAATTAAATAAATTAACTATAACTAACTATACTCGAACTAATTACCTAATTAACTGACTATAAGGGAACTATAATATAATTAACTTATAATATAATTAAAACAATTAATATTACAACAACAAAGGAACTGATTACCTAATTAATTAACTATAAGGGCTCTTCAATCTATTCAATTTAACTAATTAATCAAACCCTTTTTTTAACTATACTTCAAACAAGACCTTAAACGCACCTCTGAGGTTCTTAATTAACTAATTAATCAATTATAAGGGAACTAATACTTTGAACAAGACCTCTGAGGCTCTTAATTAACTAATTGATCAACTATGAGGGAACTAATCACCTAATTAACTAACTATACTTTAAACAAGACCTTAAACACACCTCTGAGGTTCTTAATTAACTAACTAATCAACTAATTAATTCATTACACTAATTAATCAACTATAAGGGAACTCATCAACTAATTAACTAACTATAATTCAAACGAAACTTCTGACGCACCTCTGAGGTTCTTAATTAACTAATTAATCAACTATGAGGGAACTAATCAACTAATTAACTAACTATAATTTAAATAAGACCTTAAACGCACCTCTGAGGTTCTTAATTAACTAATCAACTAATGAATTAATTACACTAATTAATCAACTACAAGGAAACTCATCAACTAATTAATTCATTACACTAATTAATCAACTATAAGGGAACTCATCAACTAATTAACTAACTATAATTTAAACAAGACTTCTGAGGCTCTTAATTAACTAATTAATCAACTTCATGGGAATTAATTAACTAACTATAATTTAATCAAGATTTCTGACGCACCTCTGAGGCTCGTCGGCTTATCGGGGACGCGGTTTTCGTCGAGGTCGTTGGCAAAGGTCTCGGCTGGGATCCAGTGGGTCGACGGGCCCGAGCCCGTTCACCGTGAGGGCAGAGAGCTGTGGGGGGGAGGGGGGGTCATAAGGTCAGGTCAGGAAAGGTCACAATTGGGTTGTCAAGATTAAGAAAAAAAAAAAAAAAAAAAAAAAATTAACTAGAACAATAATAATAAAATCACTGAAATAGACATCACCCCCCTCCCCCCCCTAGCTTGATAGAATGTGTGCTCCTAGTACCTTATATGAATATTCTGTATATACTAAGATTATTGACATAAACTAATACCTATAACTAAGATACTTATAATCTATTATATTAATATACTTATTCTAACTACTGATGCTTCTCTTGAATGCCATAGAAGAGAGAGGACGAGAGAAGACGAGAGAGAGGAGAGAGGTAGAGAGATGAGAGCAGTGAGGATAGAGAGGAGGATAGGGAGGAGATAGAGGTCGCGAGATCGAGAGAGTATAGGGAGAGAGGAGAGAGAGAGAGAAATAAGAGAGAGAGAGAGAGATAGAGAGAGAGCGGGAGTCTATAGAGAGAGCTAGATAGAGGAGAGCAGAGGAAGATAATCGATAGAGAGAAAGAGATATAGAGAGAGAGAGAGAGTAGAAGAGAAGATAGGAGGGCGAGAGAGAGAGAGAGAAGATAGATAGAGATAGGAGTAAGAGAGAGAGAGAGTGAAACGAGAGAAGGATAGAGTATATGAGAGAGAGCGATAGAGAGATTATATACATAGAGAGAATAGACACCGAAATAAGAAGAGTGTCATAAAAAAAAGAAAAAACCAACAAGGAATGACTAAGACATGAAAAGAAGAAAATAAAGAAAAGAAAGAATGAAGAAATAAGAAAGCCGAAAAAATAATAAAAATCCCCCGAAAGCAGACATCCCCCCACTCCCCCCCCCTTCCTCCCTCACCTTAATAGAATACTGCGTGCTCCTCTTCAGATCCGTGAGGGCGAAGAGCCTGCGGTTGCCGTCGGTCGTCTTCGTCTTGGTCGAGCCTGCCTTCCCTCGTTCCTTGTAGCGGATTTTGTAGCCGGTGATAACGCCGTTCTGGTCCTGGGGTGGGGGGGGCTCCCAGCGTAGGATGAGGCTCTGGATTTAAAGGGAAGACGTATGTAAGTATAAATGTGAATAAAGGCATTCGTGCTTACACATATACATACATATATACATGCAAACATACTTTTCTATATATGTACGTATACACATACAAACATACTTACATATATACGTACACATACACATGTACACACACATATACATGCATACATACACGTGTACAGGTACTTACATTTATACATAAACATACATGTGCACACATAATTATATATATACATACAAATACACATGCATACTCACATATATGCATATCATCCATACATAAATACAAACATACACTATTATACACTCTTAACATACATATAAACATATGCACACTTATATACGTATATAAATATATACACTCTCTCCTTTCTCTCTCTCTCTCTCTCTCTCTCACACTCTCTCTCACTCACTCTCTCTTTCTCGCTCACTCTCTTCTTCAATCTCTCTCTCACTCTCTCCTTCAATCTCTCTCTTTCTCTCTCTTCTTGTCCTATTTCTCTCTCTCTCTCTCTCTCTCTCTCACTTTCTCCTTCTCTCTTTTTTCTTTATTTCTCTCTCTCTCTCACTCTATCTATCTATCTCTCTCCCTCTCACCCTAGAGCTGGCGGCCTCCACCGTCACGTTCTGCGGCTCCCTCCCTCTCCCTCTCTCCCTCTCTCTCTCTCTCTCACTCACTCTCTCTTTCTCGCTCACTCTCTCCTTCAATCTCTCTCTCTTTCTCTCTCTTCTTGTCCTATTTCTCTCTCTCTCTCTCTCTTTTTTCTTTATTTCTCTCTCTCTCTCACTCTATTTATCTATCTCTCTCCCACTCACCCTAGAGCTGGCCGCCTCCACCGTCACGTTCTGCGGCTCCCTCCCTCTCCCTCTCTCTCTCTCTCTCTCTCTCTCTCTCTCCCTCTCTCTCTCTCTCTCACTCACTCTCTCTTTCTCGCTCACTCTCTCCTTCAATCTCTCTCTCTTTCTCTCTCTTCTTGTCCTATTTCTCTCTCTCTCTCTCTCTCTCTCTCTCTCTCTCTCTCTCTCTTTTTTCTTTATTTCTCACTCTATTTATCTATTTATCTATTTCTCTATCTCTCTCCCTCTCACCCTAGAGCTGGCCGCTTCCACCGTCACGTTCTGCGGCTCCCTCCCTCTCCCTCTCCCCCTCTCTCTCTCTCTCTCTCTCTCTCTCTCTCATTTTCTCCTTCTCTTTTTTCCTTATCTCTCTCTCTATCTCACTCCATTTATCTATTTATCTATCTCTCCCTCTCACCCTAGAGCTGGCCGCTTCCACCGTCACGTTCTGCGGCTCCCTCCCTCTCCCCCTCTCTCTCTCTCTCTCTCTCTCTCTCTCTCTCTCTCTCTCTCACTTTCTCTTTCTCTCTTTTTTCTTTATTTCTCTCTCTCACTTTCTCTTTCTTTCTTTTTTCTTTATTTCTCTCTCTCTCTCTCACTCTATTTATCTATCTCTCTATCTCTCTCCCACTCACCCTAGAGCTGCCCGCCTCCACCGTCACGTTCTGCGGCTCCCTCCCTCTCCCTCCCTCTCCCTCTCTCTCTCTCTCTCTCTCTCTCTCTCTCTCTCTCTCTCTCTCTCTCTCTCACTCACTCACACTCTCTCTCACTCACTCTCTCTTTCTCGCTCACTCTCTTCTTCAATCTCTCTCTCACTCTTTTCTTCAATCTCTCTCTTTCTCTCTCTTCTTGTCCTATTTCCCTCTCTCTCTCTCTCTCTCTCTCTCTCTTTTCCTTATTTCTCTCTCTCTCTCTCTCTCTCTCTCTCTCTTTCACTCTATTTATCTATCTCTCTATCTCTCTCCCTCTCACCCTAGAGCTGGCCGCTTCCACCGTCACGTTCTGCGGCTCCCTCCCTCTCTCTCTCTCTCTCTCTCTCTCTCTCTCTCTCTCTCTCTCTCTCTCTCTCACTTTCTCTTTCTCTTTTTTTTCCTTATCTCTCTCTCTCTCTCACTCTATTTATCTATTTATCTCTCTCTCCCTCTCACCCTAGAGCTGGCCGCTTCCACCGTCACGTTCTGCGGCTCCCTCCCTCTCCCTCTCTCTCTCACTCTCTCTCTCTCTCTCTCTCTCTCTCTCTCTCTCTCTCTCTCTCTCTCTCTCTCTCTCTCACTCACTCACACTCTCTCTCACTCACTCTCTCTTTCTCGCTCACTCTCTTCTTCAATCTCTCTCTCACTCTTTTCTTCAATCTCTCTCTTTCTCTCTCTTCTTGTCCTATTTCCCTCTCTCTCTCTCTCTCTCTCTCTCTTTTCCTTATTTCTCTCTCTCTCTCTCTCTCTCTCTCTCTCTCTCTTTCACTCTATTTATCTATCTCTCTATCTCTCTCCCTCTCACCCTAGAGCTGGCCGCTTCCACCGTCACGTTCTGCGGCTCCCTCCCTCTCTCTCTCTCTCTCTCTCTCTCTCTCTCTCTCTCTCTCTCTCTCTCTCTCTCACTTTCTCTTTCTCTTTTTTTTCCTTATCTCTCTCTCTCTCTCACTCCATTTATCTATTTATCTATCTCTCACTCACCCTAGAGCTGGCCGCTTCCACCGTCACGTTCTGCGGCTCCCTCGTGGGTACGTCCGAGAAGGTCCTGGCCGTCACCTCCCGCGTCGCGTCGCCGGCCCCGTTGGCGTTGACGGCCACGAGCCACACGCTGTACTCGGTGAACTCGTCGAGGCCTTCCAGGTCGTGTCGGGTCGCGGAGGGACTGACCTCCACCTCGTGCTCTTCCGCCGAGCCGACCTGTTGGGGGGGGACGAAGGGGGGGGGGGGGGTTGTTAGTGTCATTAGGCTACAGAATCGTTCTTGTACTTCATTACCTCATTATTTTCATAATTAACTCATTAAGCTCATAATTAACTCATTGTTCTCTTCCTCTTTTCCTCCTCCTCCTCCTTCCTCCCTCTCTTCCTCTCTTCTTTCTCCTTCCTCCCTCTCCTCCTCCTCAAAATTATTAATTAACTCATTATTCTCCTTCTCTTCCTCGTCATAATT